CATCACCATTTTACACACGGACAAAGAAGTCAGTGGTCGTGTCCTCACTGAGATAATTTAACTCCAGATCCCATCTTCTCAATTCTAGGGATTCAACATTTGTACTGTGAGTTTATTTCCCTTTTTGTTTGATAGTTTATTTTTTTTTTTTTTTTTTTTTAAGACAGGCTCTCACTGTGTCACCCTCACAGCAACCTCAGACTCTTGAGCTTAGTGATTCTCTTGCCTCCGCCTCCCAGATAGCTGAGACTACAGGCACCTGCCACAACGCCTAGCCGTTTTTTGGTTGTAGTTGTCACTGTTGTTTGGCAGACCCGTGCTGGATTTGAACCTACCAGTCCCCGTGTATGTGGCTGGTGCCCTAGCTGCTGAGCTATAGGTGCTGAGCCATTGTCTATCTTTTTAATTCATAGAATATTTCTTCTTCTGGCTCTAGTACATTTAACTTAATGATCAGTATAATTTAATTTTAGTTTTGTTTTTTTTGTCTGAGACAGAGTCTCACTATGTCATCCTCGGTAGATTGTCATAGCGTCTCAGCTCCAGCAACCTCAAATTCTTGGGCTTAAGCAGTTCTCTTGCCTCAGCCTCCCAAGTAGCTGGGACTACAGGTGCCCACCACAATGCTGTCTATTTTTTTTGTTGCAGTTGTCATTGTTGTTTAGCTGGCCTGGGCTGGGTTCGAACCCACAGGCTTTGTGTATGTGGCTGGCCCCATAACCTCTGTGCTACGGGCGCCGACTTCCAACTGGGGTCTTTCCACTGCATTGCTTCCACATCTCTCTACCCATTGTCATTTGAGCTAATATTGTCATAATATCATGATTTCCGTTGTCATAGTTGAGCAGCTGTGGTGGATACTTTCCATTTCTAACCTCATCTGATCCTTATAACAGGATATGATGATGAATATTATCATAAGCTCACTTTACATGTGAGAAAATGAGGTTTGATTGAGAAGGTAAGCAACTTCCCGATCTTATATAACTAGCAAAAGACAGAACCAGAATTAGAATTGAGGTCATTTAGGTCCCTGTATTATATATTCTTAAAAATAATACCAAAAGAAAACAGTTTCGTTGTACATATCTACAAGGCCATATGGAAAGAGCTCCACTGTATATACTGAACAGAATCTTTTCAGATCAGCAAAGGGTGTTTCAAATTGATTTCCTGTCAGTTTATTCATGGTTTCCTTTTCCCATTTACATCCCTGGGTTCCTAGACATTTTTCTCTAAATCTCTAAAGAGCATTACTCTGTGCTAGTGCTTTCTCAGAGCTGGGCAATGAAAATCAAGATTATACTGGGAATGTTTAAAAAGAGTTATTTTTCTATAAAAATGTTCTAAGTAGTATATGCTGATTATATTTTTTTAATGTGCAGAAAGTTAAAAAGTAAGCGGTCCTTTTCTGTCAGTACTTCAGTTTTGCTATTTATTTTTATTATTATTATTATTTAATTTTTGAGACAAAGCCTCACACTGTCACCCTGGGTAGAGTGCTGTGGCACCATAGCTCACAGCAACCTTGAACTCTTGGGCTCCACCAACCCTCTTGCCTCAGCCTCCCAAGTAGCTGGGTCTACAGGTGTGCACCACAACATCCAGGCTATAATCCTAGCACTCTAGGAGGCTGAGTTGGGTTAATTGCTTGAGCTCAGGAGTTCAGACCAACCCACAAAAAAGCAAGATCCCATCTCTACTAAAAATAGAAAAATCTAGCTGGGTGTCTTAGCAGGCATCTGTAGTCCCAGCTACTCAGGAGGCTGAAGCGAGAGGATCACTTGAGCCCAGGTGTTTAAGGTTGCTGTGAGCTGTGATTACACTAGGGCTTTCTACCCTGGGGGCCACTCTATCCAGAGGATCTGAGTGAGGCTCTGGCTCAGGAAAAAAAAGTTTAAGAACAAATCAGTGGTTGGTATGAGACTGTAAACTGGCAATATTTGGAAATTTCTTTATCGTATCTTCAGTATGGTGGTGGGACATGACTCTAGACATGTGATAGAATGACATAGAAGTATGTATGCACAAACATACATAAATGATTGTGTGTAAAAACTGGAAAAGTCTGATTAAAGTCTATAGATTGTACCAATGTCAGCTTATGATTTTAACATTGTGCCGTAGTCATGTGAAAGGCATGTGATGGGTACACAAGACCTCTCAATTAGTTTTGCAACTTACTGTGAGTCTATAAGAATTTCCAAATGTGAAAAAAAAATCGGTTTTAATAGGGCTTAATTTTCTTTCCTTGATTTACCTCAGACTTTCCTGTCCTCCTAAATATCTACTGAAAACAATTTGGTTGTATCTTTATATTTGTTGATTTAGCTATATTGGCATTCATCCCTTTGGGGAGGATCCTGGTATTCCTTCAGGGTCATGATGAAAGGTGTGGAGCTTCCCAATATAAAAATACTTGGGTTGAGGCCAGGTGTGATGGCTCATGCTTGTAATCTAGCACTTTGGAGGCTGAGAGGGGAGGGATTGCTTGAGCCTGGGAGTTCTAGACCAGCCTCTGCTATATCAGGTGTGCTGGCATGTACCTGTAGTCTTAGCTACTCAGGAGGCTGAGGTGGGAGGACCACTTGAGCTGGGAAGTTTGAGATTGCAATGAGCTATGATGATACCACTGCATTCTAGGTAGGGCAACAAAGCAAAACCCCCGTCTAAAAAACAAAACGCAAAAAGATCTTGGTTTGCACCTGCACAAAAAATTTTAGCTTAATTTGAGAAGGTTCATGGATTCCCGAGTTTAGAATTGCTGCTTTTTCATTGACTTAGTGGGCTTCTCTGTCCCCAGTCAATCAGGGAATCATTTGGGAAATTGTAATCTAAAATGTCTTCACATGTCACGTTTGGTGAAGTGGTAAAAGTTTTTGTATGTTCTGAGGCAGTAACTCAAGAGGAAGACACTCTTGACTTAAGCACTCTCCTTCTGTTTCAGGGCTCCTTTCTGTTTTGTCAGTTTGTCTGTCCTTGCTGTTCTTTGTCACTTTATTCTTTCACATA